GGGGGGCTGGGCCTGGGCGGGAGCCAGGCCAGCGCCCGCGCCGAGGATGGGCGCCCGGTTCCCGGGCGCCAGGTGAGGCGTGGATTGCGGCCCCGAGCCCCGGGTTGCGCGGCTGTGGCGCCCGAGCCTGGCGGCCCTCGGAGGCGCCGGACACCTTGCAGAGCCCCCGCCCGCTAGCGAAGGCCGTTCCGCCTCTGGGCGGGGGCGCCGGTGGTCGCCGCCCCTGGCCTCTGTTCTGCCCCCCGCCCCGCATACCCCCCCACTCCACCTCCCAAGGATCTTGGGACAGTTCCCTCCATCACCTGCTTGGAAGATGCGAACTGATCGCATTTCTGCCCGAGCCGGGTGGAGGGGGGTGTCGGCGGTAGCCAGCGCAGCGAGCCTTTGTGGGCGCGGCCTAGGGTAAACTGTTTTGTTTTTACATCATTTAGCTTTCTCCATCACTGTTGTGTCTTTTCTCAGTTTTGCTTTTACAAGGAAGCAGACTCTGAGTTAAAACCTCATTTTTTCCAGTCTGCCCCCTGTCCTTGGGGGTGGAGAACCGGATGGGGGGAAAAAAGCAGAGGAGCTTACCAAATCCAATCATTTCATTCATTTAAGGCTGTTTAAGAAGCCTTTGAATGGATGCGGTGCGATTGGCATAAAAGAGCAATAGCAATCGTAAATAAACTTATTTATTGACCACTACCATAATTCAGAAACGGCTCAGTGATTTTTATGAGGGAGCAATTAAATAGCCAGTTTAAATGACTCTTGGTGGGATCCGCTTCCCTTTACCGTCAGATGGTTTGTCCTCAGCAGAGTTTGGGCTCAGGGCCAGGCTTGGGGAAATGGCTTTATCTGCTTATTTTTCAGCTCCGAGGGTGGCAGCTCCCTTTTGCTGAGCACAGCCTCCCCCATGGTACCCTCAGTCACCCCTATACATTGTGCTCCTACCATTCCTATCCGGTGCCACCCCTTTTAAAATCTATTTGGAGACAAAACATGGGGTTCATGCTAGGTCGTTTAGCACCTGATGCCTTTCTTTGAAAATCACTTGATAGAAGCAGATGACCTGAATCTAGAGTGCATGGTGCTTTCGTAGGGGCCTCCTTTAAATCGGAGACACACTAAACCCCTATATCATTTAGGGATATGTCCAGCTACAATTAACTATAAACTTCAAATAAAGTAGCTAAGCAAATTGGGAGTGATTTTCCTTATATAACAGGAAGAATGTCGGTGATCACCAGCTTTGGCTCAGCTGCCCAGTGTGCCATTAGGGACCCAGGCTCCACTGGCATTAGCCCCACGATTATAATATGACCACCACAGCTCCAAACATAACCTCTGTATCCAGGGCAAGAAGAAGGGGGAATGTGGGCACCAGCTTCTGGCTCTCCTTCCTATCAGGAAAGCAGAAGTTTTCCCCAAAGCCTCCTTTCTCCCAACAGATTTTGTACTTTATTGGCCAGAAGTAGGTCACATAGCTACTGCAAGGGAGGCTGGGAGAGGGAGAAGTGAGCTGGACACATTATCATCCCCAAATAAAGTTGGGTTTCTGTTATCAGCAACGGTAGGGAACAGAAATTGGGAGGCACCAGACAAAAAATTCTGTCTCATTTCACTTTGCAAACTCCTACATTGTGCAGATGCTATGGATGATGCTGTAAGTGTGGTGTGGGGGCCTCTGAGGTAGGTCATCTGACTTCTGCATGTTACAGATGAGGAAACTGAGGCACCTCGGGGTGAAAGGACTTGCCAGAGGACTGTAGCCAGTGAGTGGTGGGACCAGGATTCCAGCCCAGGCAGTCAGAACTCCAGCCCAGCCTCACTTCAACTCTGTGCCCAACCCCTTTGGGCTCTGTGCAGAGGAGGTTCTCCAGAAACTCTCTTCATCAGCAGTGCAGACTGCCCGCTGGGAACCTCTCAGCCTTTTCTGTGACTTGGGAAATGGCCCTAAGGCAGAGAGATAGTCAAGGTAGAGCTTTTCACCAGGGAACCCCCGTCCTGCCAAGGATGCAGTATCCTCAGAAACCAGGGACCCACAGTGGAAAGACCTATCCTCACCTGCATAGAAGTCAGCATTTTGGAGTTGAAGAGACCAGAAGTCATATGGCCATGTTCCCCTTTATTTCCCCTGCAGCTTTATTCCCCCCAACACTTCTCCTTTACACCTGTATAATACCTCTGCTCCTTTGAGGCTCCTGTCGTTCAAGTGACATCCTGTTTTCCCCTCCTCCATGCTGCTGGCTCCTGACCTCCCCAGCCAGGCTGCCTCATTTCTTACGGCCTTTGGCACCTAATGTGAGCCTTCCTTTTGACCTAAGCCCTGCCCCGTCCCTGGTGTCTTCAGGGTTCACAAGTGTGACCCTTGTAACACGCTGGCCTCTCACTCCATCACAGCCTCCTGGATCTCGTTAGCTCTCAGAGCTGCTCCTCCTCTTCTGACCACACCCTCTCCTCCAGAGATCTCCATGATCCATGATCACTGGGCTCTTCTCTCTACCAGTCTCTCAGCCTCTTACTGAGCCTGTCGTTTTTGCATTTTGGTGTTGTTATATAAATGGTCCTGTGACCCCCTACCCTAGCTAGGGAACATATTCAGGCCACAAGCTAAGATGACCAAGGCATCCCGGTTTGCCTGGGACTCTCAGTTTTAAAATGGAAAGTGCTGCATTCTGGAAAACCCGTTAGTCCTGGGCAAACTGGGTTGATCAGCCTTCTATTAGCTCTGACTTGCCCAAATTCTTGCCTAAAAACACAACAAAATAGCCTGAGCTTGGAGGAAAAGCAAACTTTACCCAACTCCAGACCCTCACATCTTCAGCTCCCATCCCTTTGACCCTCAGACCAACGTCCATACTGTTGGGCCCTCATCCCCAAGTCAGACCCTTGGCCAACATTAAATAGAGGAAGTGGCTTATATGGGTGGCCCAAGGGGAAGGCAGCCTACATCAAACTCCATAGCCCCAGGCCCCATACCCCTGCCTTTCCCCTTACTCCTCCAGATCTTCCTCCTCCCTAGATGTTTCCCCTTATTGCCTTCTGCTTACCTTCTACCATAGGTAAGTGTTCCCTTGCTTGATTGTAAGACATTTTAGAATCATGAGGTTATAGTTTGTATTGGTTTCCTATTGCTGTTGTACATATTTCCATAAACATAGGAACTTAAAACAACATAAATGTATTCTTTTACAGTTCTGGACGTCAGAAGTCTACAGTGGGTCAGCAGGGCTTCATTCCTTCTGGAAGCTTTAGGGGAAAGTCCCTTCCTTGCCTTTTCCAGCTTCTAGAAGCTGCCTGCAATCCTCAGCTTGTGGCCCCACATCGTCTGACCTTTCTGTCATCACCTCACCTTCTTTGACTCTGATCTCCCTGCGTCCCTCTTAGAAGGACCCTTGTGATTACAGTGGACCCACCTGTATAAAGCAGGGTAATCATCCCAGCTCAAGATCCTTAACGTAATCACATCTGCAAAGCCCCTTTTGCCGTGTAAGGGAACATATTCACAGGTTCCAAGGATTAAGACATGGACATCTTCGGAGGTCCTATCACAGGCTCTCAAAACTAGAAGGGTCACCTGCTTCAGCCTCAGTCCTCAGGCACAAAAAGTTTCCTTCTCCTCCCTATAACCCTTATGGATGAGGAGACTGTTGAGATCCAGGGAAGGGTAAAGGGAATGTCCTAAGGTTCTGCAGCTACTCTAAGGGAGAATGGGGGAGTAGACGCCAGGGTTCAGGCTCCTGGTATTAGCTCTCCTTCTCACCCTGCTAGGCCATCTCTCAGGCAGTTGAGATTTCCATTAAGAAGGAAAAAAAAAAATCCATGTGTGTGTATGAAAAGATCTCAACATTAAATTTAAAAAGTCCCAAGCAGTATATTTAACATGATCTCATTAGCGTGAACAAGCTTAAACAAATATGCATTTAATTTGTGGCAGGATACGTGAGAAACTTGTTATCTCTAGAGAGGGCCCAGGGGAGTGAGGGGAGGCGGAGGTACTTTTCAATTTATACCCATCTGTGCATTTCCTGCTTTTATAATAAAAAATGGGTACTGGAATGGGAGTCAAGATCAAGAACAAAGAAGAGAATTCAACTTTAAAGAGTCCTTAACTTGAAATTAAACTGAAGAATGATCCAGAAAACAGGCTGAAAGCAGGTCAGGAGGCACACTGTGTTTTTTTCAGCCAGCACGTATGGCAGCCTTGTGGGGCTATGGGGGGCTTCTTCCAGATTCCCAGCCTCTTTGGGGGCAGATTCTAATCTAGTGTAGGAACAAAGCCACTCAAAGAAGATTTATGTAATTTCAAGTACAAATCCAGCTGAAATTTGGTCAAGTTCGCAGGACTTATCATCAGATGCTATTCACTTTTCTCTCTGTTCTAAATGTACCTTTGTGAAAGGTTTTATTCTCAAAGGCTATATTATGACTGGAGCCTTGGACTATTCTGATTTTATGGTGTAGGGAGAAATCGAGGAAAACCGAATTTCTGGATTAGTCTGAAGCCAATATGTTGACTGACTTTTTCTGCGTTCTAAGGAAATAGGCCGCGTGGCCTGAGGCTAGATGTGAGTTTCCCTACAAACTAATCCTCTCCCTGCTGCTTTGGACCACATGCTGCCTGCAGCCATGAGAGGGAACGGAGAGCAAACCTGCCTTTCATCTCCTCTCCCTTTGCTTTGGCTCTGCATCCATAATTGCATACAATCTAGCTCACACAAGTGAATCTAGGGCACCATCATAATAAGCTAAGGCCCACTATAACAAATTTAGAAATCTAGACGAAAACAAGCCATTCATAACCCCACCACCCAGGGGTAGCCAATTTTAATATTTTGATATATTTCATAGTTTATGATTTTATGATTGTGCATATTATTTGTGAACGTACTTGGGATTGTACTAGATTTAAAGTTTGAGCCTAATTTCAATTTAACGCAATGAATTAAATAGTTCCCCGTGTCATTTTGCCATTCTTTTTAATGTCAGTATTTTGAAATTATTGTATGGAGCCATATAGTACTCCATCTGAAAGACTGTACCATTGCTTAGCCTATCCAGCTTTTAATTAGGGAATTTTGGGGAGTTTTTTTCTGTGTGTAGCTAATATACGTTTTGGAGCAATTCCAAAATCTCAAGCACAAATGAGGTAATGTGATTGCAGATGTTTTCCTTCCATCCAAGTGTTTGAGGGTTTTGTTTATATCCACTCCATTCAGTCCAGGGGTAGAATTAGACAGGATCCATTTTTTTAAATTTTTTTATTTGTAGTTTTTAAAATTGAGGTATAGTTGACACACAATGTTACGTTAGTTTCAGGTGTACAACAGTGATTCGATAACTGTAGGTTATGCTCTCCTTACCACAGGTGTAGCTACCATCTGTCATCAGACAACACTAGACAATATCATTGACTGTACTCCCTATGCTGTTACCCTGTTTTATCCCTGTGACTTACTCTTTTTTTTCTTTTTTTAATTTAAATCAATTAGCCAACATACAGTACATCATTAGTTTCCAATGTAGTATTCAGTAATTCATCAGTTGCATATAACACCCAGTGCTCCTCACATCACGTGTGCCCTCCTTAATGCCCATCACCCAGTTACCCCATCCCCCCACCCTCCCCGTGACTTATTCATTCCATAACTGGAAGCCTGTACCTCCCATCCTCTTCACCCATTTTGCCCATCCCCCCACCTCCTCCCCTCTGGCAACCATCAGTCTGTTCTCAGTATTTATGGGTCTGCTTCTGCTTTTTGTTTGTTTTGTTCTTTAGATTCCACATATAAGTGAAATCATATGGTATTTGTCTTTCTCTGTCTGACTTCACTTAGCATAGTACCCTCTGGGTCTATCCATGTTGTTGCAAATAGTAAGATCTCATTCTTTTTTATAAGAAGTATGCCATTGTGTGTGTTGTGTATATATATATCACATCTTTGTCCATTCATCTATCAATGGACACTTGGGTTCCAAAATGAATTTTTTAGAAGTAGCTTTGGATAATTTTTCATCCTCCGTTCCTTAGATCTTCTACCAAATGGTGGCCATCAAAGACTGTATATTGGTGCAAAATTTGGAAGGTGATTCAACCTCCCCTTTCCTTACTCCAGTTCCGGTGGATCCTTCAAAGCCAGGTGCCTGTCTCCTGATGGCACACCTGCCAGCAGTCAGCCGGGTTACCTCTGTCCCCGCGCTGCAGCTGCAGTCTGCCCCCTGCAGACCATGAGCTCAGGAAGAGCAGGGACCGTCCTATTCTTTTCTGTACCCGAGCATCCAGCACAGTACTTGGCACATACTCGGGGTTCTAGAGATACCATTCAAGCTGTAACTCTTCAGTTTAACAGATGTGAGATTGGCCAGATAGAAACAGGATGGAGTGGGTTGGGAGTAAACCTATATATGGGAAAGGAAAATGCAGTGAGAAAAAAATAATTAGTAGCTGGGATGTGGTCAGATTCACATTATATAAGGAGGGCCCCATATCGGTTGGGTGAGTCATCTTTTTAATTCATTAATTTTTTTTATTTTCATGAGAGGGACATAAAATAGCTGTGGTTGTCCGAACGCTGAACTGGGGAAAGCTGCAATAATATTGACGTGAAGTTTGAAAACAAAACACTAAACAAAATATGCTCACAACTCAGAGCTGGTACAGGCTTGTGTAAATGGCCTCTAAGAATTTAGAAAATTTGCCGTCTTTAAACTATATTCAGTATGTTTTTAAGAATGTATCTGTAAAAAACTAGTGTGCCATTTGTGGTAATAAAGAATGCAATGTTTTAGCAGAAGTGATAGCATAATAATTGCACATTCATGTAGTACTTTTTCCTTTTTAAGATTTTATTTTTAAGTAATCTCTACACGCAACATGGGGCTTTACCTTACATCCTGGAGATCAAGAGTTGTACGCTCCACCGACTGAGCCAGCCACGCGCCCCTCACGTAGTACCTTATAGTTCAGCAAGGATTTTTTATAGTTGGGTTTTCACAGAGACTTTTAACTTGTTGACAGTCTTGTTTTTTTATCACAAAGGAATGGGGCAACTAAACGAAACCAAGACTTCTTGGAGACGTGGCTGATTCTAGGGCCAGAGCAGGGAAAGAACATGAGCCTGGAATAAGAAATGCTTAGAGAACGGTAGGGACATGTCAGAAGGTCTGGGCGCTTGCTTGACGGGGCTCCCACTGAGCAAATCAGCGACTAGTTGAGCATAAAAATAAATAATAATACTAAAGGGTTATAACCCCTTGAATAAGGTAAGAATCCATGAGTTCCATCTAATATAAATGGACAAATAAATACACTGAAGAGGAGGGGAAGCTCCTTTTATTAGAAAGCCACCTAAAAATGCAGAAGGAATGATGGAATTAGGAGAATCACTTGCCAACCATCATCATCACCCATTCAGGCAAGACTCCTGAAAAGATGTTAAAAAGAGGGTATTGGAGTTTGATGAGTGACGGGGTATTTGTGGAGTCTCAGAGTATATCCCCACAGGACACTTTTTCATTACAAAAGGCAAAACGGTAACTCTCCAATGAAGAAACCCAGCAGACACCACCTCAACTGAATGGTCAGCGTGCCCAGTGCCAGTGACGAGCCCAACGGACAGCAGGCGCCTCCTGACAGGGCGCACTGGCGGGGACTCAGCATCCATCTGTGGCGTTCCTGCCAAGCACGCATCACCTGCATCTGATCTTGAGGAAGCGGCAGACAGGCCCACACTGGGAAACTCAGTAGCTGGAAACCAAAGAAACATGACAATTGAGGGCAGCACGTGGTCTTGGATTTTCTTTTGCTGTAAAGATATTATTGGGACGATGGAGAGTATCTCAATAAGGTCTGTAGATTGGACATAGCATTGTTCCAGTGTTCATTTTCTGACTTTGATAATATACTGTGGCTATGTAAGAGAGTTCCTTGTTTTTAGGAGATACACAATGCAGTGTTTAGAGAGACGGAGGGGAGGGAGGGAGGGAGGATTTCTGAGAAGGGGCACTGTTGTCACGGGCTTGAGCCGCAGTCCAGTTCGGCCCTCCCTGCCCCATTTCCGTGAGGGAGGTGGCACTCCCCAGCAAGGGGCAGTGGTTCCTGGGAAGGAAGAGGGCCAGCTGCCTTGCCTCACACCCCCCATGCTGCGCTGCTCCGCCGAGACATCACGCCTTTCCTGGGCCTGCCCCTTGCCTCGGATGCCCCTTTCCCTCTTTCTCACCTGCCTGGGGGAAAGGCCCAGCTGGGAGGTTTGGAGGTAGGATAAGTGGAGGGGGGGCGGTTAGGAGCCCCAGTTTTTCCTTCTGGCACAGCCTCTACCTAGAAGGGCAGTGGCACTGCATGAGGGGGCGAAGCCATGGGGTCCCCCAGCCTCAGTTTCCTCACCTCTGGATGCGGGGCCCGGACGTGACGGTCTCTTCATGGGAACGTGGCTCCTTCTGGGACTCCTCAGTGACAGGCTCAGGAAAGAGGCCGTGGGCCCAGCCCCTGCGAGATTCCTTTTTGGAGCTCCTCCCTGGTGTGGGTTGCTCCTGTAGGTCATGTGTTTAGACTTTTAGAATAGTGATCTCCACTGATAGCGGAAGTTTTCAGTAAAACACATTGGTGCGCCATGTGGTGGCTCCCTCGTCCGTTCTTGTCTGCAGCACGGGAATGGAGCCCCGACGTGTCCCAGGCCTGTGCTAGGTACAGGGCATCAGCTAGGGGTCACGGTGCCTGCTCTTGAGCGGCATGGGTGCACATTCTGCCACCATGGGACAGTTTTTGTAAAGTCACTTTTCCTTGTGATTGGAAAGGTAGGTAAAAGAACCAGAAGCCCCAGCTTCACTCCCAGTTGGTTGTATGAACTTGTTTTAGCCCAAGAACCCCGGTGAGCCTCAGTCTCGCTATGCTGCTCACCCTGCCCACCTCGCAGAGCCGCAGCCCTTCAGTGGGAGAATTCTGTATGGGGGAAGGCAGCCATATGTATATGAGGTAGCCTCATTGTGGATCCCTCGGCACACACAGATGGAAACGCTTTGGAAGATGTGGGGTATTAAACCCAAAGACAGAATGACAGTGTTGTCTCTACCCTCTCCTGAGTTTAAAAGAGAGAGCATAATGAAGGCATAATAGTAAAAAACAAAACCAAAACACACACACACACACAAACAGGAGAATCAGAGAAAGACCAATGTCATCCCTTTGCCAGCATATGGCTCAGAATCTGGTCGTTGGTGACGGAACTGATTATAGCCTGTCCTTCTAGTACACCAGGTGGCCGAGCGGGTGGAAGCTCTGGGGCAGTTTGTCATGAAGACCAGGAGGACCCTCAAAGGCCATGGGAACAAGGTTCTCTGCATGGACTGGTGCAAAGATAAGAGAAGGATCGTGAGCTCATCCCAGGTATGTGACATCTGCTCTGTGAGGGTGAGCAAGGGTCTGACTTGATAGCTAAAGAAGAAAGAGAGCTTTCCTTTTCAAAAAACCCTGCCTGCTCTTTATGACTCTGCTTATTCTCCACAGGACATGAGTTAGCATAGTGAAGAATTCTCTTGTATACTGTAGAACGTCACTAATTTGGGTAGATTTGGAGTTACGGTAAAAACTGAAACGTGAACTATATTTGAGAAGCCATTCAAAATTTTTTCTTCCTGAGTATACTTCAGGGCTGTATTTGTGAATGAAACCATTTTTTAGATAGTGAGGCTCCCTCCCCCCAAATTGAGGACATAAGTGGTTGTGGCTTCTTTCAGTTTAAGAGTTGCTGGACTCTTTTTACGCCTTAAAGAGCAAATTTAAGACACATATTTTGTAAAGTATAATTTTTCATTCATTTTATCTCGTTAACATAGTTTATTTTACATCTTACATTACTGTTATCTGTTGCTGCATAACAAATTGCCTCCAAATTCAACAACTTAAAACAACAAATATTTATTATTTCACATGGTTTCTGAGAGCCGGGACTCTGGAGCGGCTTATCTGGGTAGTTCCGGCTCAGAGTCTCTCATGGGGTTACAGTCAAGATGTTGGTCAGGGCTGCGGTCATGACATAGCTCGAGTAGGGCAGAAACTCACTTCCAAAATGGCTCATTGGCTGGAGACCCTAGTTCTTCACCATGTGGACGTTTTCATAGGGCTGCTTGTAAGATAGTAGCTGGCCTTCCCCAGAGCAAGAGAGGGAGATGGAAGCCGAAGCCATGCCATCAGAAGTGACATTCCATCACTCCTGCTGTATTCCAACCCTGACGTTATGAGGGAGGAGCCTCTACAAAAGTGCAACTATCAGGAGGCTGGTTATCACTGCTTGGTACTTTTTATGTCTATTTTGATGTAACATGCATTGAATATAAAATTATAAACTGAAGTTCTATATTTTTATGGCCAGTTTGGACTCCCCTGCCAACCATCCATACCTTCAGCCCAGCTTTTCCAAAAGACAATATCCAAAAGACAAAATTCCTTTTAAATATAAAAACTGTACATAATCTAAATAATCCACACACTCTAACATCTATGTCAGGCTGTGTTTGATAAGGACAGGTGGTCTTAGTGTCCTAAATTACCTATAGATCTAATATGTCACCTTGTTATTTGCTTTCATTTATGTTCATAAAACATTTTTCTCATGTATTTTACCACATTAAAGAGACACTGAAAAAGAGAACAAAGAAACGCTTTTACTCCCACCACCCTGTCCCAACCATTATTACTATTTTAGAGCATTCCTTTCCAGACTTTTTTTTTTCAAAGTGGTTATCACCTAGCCTTTTTGACTTTTCTTATCTTTAAGAGTACAATATATGTTGGATTTTCTGTCACTCATACACTGTTCTTATTAGAGAGGGAGGAGGAACGCTCCATCCATCCACCTCTAACGCAGAGAAAACTAGAAGTGGGGTGGGCGTGGGAGGAAGCTGGCAACAGTGGGAACATTCTGGAGCAGACGGAGTGACTCAGAGCAGCCCTTCTCCCTTGAAGGCAGGAGATTAATCAGCCTCACTGCGTGGGGTAGGGTTTGGGGTGGAGGCGGTCTCTCCAGGAACATGAGGCCCTGGTGTATAAATCTGTGCTGGTGGAGAGGCCCACATTTGGTTTTATGCCTGATTTTAGCCTCTTGGGTGCCTTCTTCTGTCCAGAGCACAAAGTGGGTGGGCAGTGGGGACAGGCAGGCAGGCGGCGTGGTGGAGGAAGCCGCCAGAGGGAATGCCAGCTTGGACAATGCACAAGTCTGTTCCCCGGCACAGCGAGCCGGGCTCCAGGTGCGGAGGGCCCCAAGGTACAGGCCTGGAGCTCCTTCCCTCTTCTCTGCCCTGTTACCCAATCTACCCCCTCTGTTGTGTTTGGGCGTTTAGTCAGAGAAATTAGACTGGAAGAACCAGTGTGCTTAGGAGTTTTGAAAGACCCCAGATTGCCCACTTTGACTTTGTTCCTGGGCCCTTCAGTCACACGCAGTGGGAATATGGAAATCGTCCAGTGGATCATGCAAAGGAAGCAACCGTGTCACTTGGGATAATCAGACCTTGCTTGCGCCCCTCAGTGGCACCTCTTCCCCCACCCTCACCTCGTCGTTCACGTTTGGCTCCAGATGGCTTCCGTGATTACAAACACCGAGCCTGCCATGGAGGCTGCCGACTCAGCCATCTTCTTCCTCACAGGCAGAGCCTGGGGCCCAGAGGACCCACACACCGCGTACCGGGCAGGTGGCCGCACTGTAGGGACCAGGGCTCGTGTGGGTTTGTATTACACACCCACGACGTCGTGGTGACTCCCCACAGCCCCAGCGCGGGCTGCAGCAGCGGGTACAGTGAAGGTAGCATCGCCAGCCCCGAGCCCAGCCCCCCAGGGCGTCCCCACCGTGACAGACGGGTGACGGACAGGAGTCTCACGTTGTTCCCAGCTTAGGTGTGAACTGTCTGGGTGGGCAAGTTACACTGCTGTCAGGCCCGCGGAGCCCAGAGAAGTGGGCCAGGGATGAGGCTGGGGGCTCTGGCGCAGCGTGCGGGGGGCACAGGAGCCAGGAGGGCTGGTGGGGGTGGCCAGGGAGAACGAAAGAGACCATTAGTTACCTGGCAAGTACCTCGAGGTAATTTCAGGTTTGTCTCACCCCTGTATAGCTTCTTGACAGGGCGTGGGGGGCGACGGCAAGGCACCAAGAGTGAGTGCTCCGTGTCTGGATGGTTAGAAGCCTGAGCATTGCTCTGTAGCTCCACAAGGAGTGTCATGTTGAGAACTGAGCCTTTAATCAGGCGGGACAGTTCAGCCCCCCGTTCTGTCCCCCTTGTTCAAAGGTAGGTTGGAGGTCCTTGACCACCCAGGTACTTACTCTGGCGTCTCCTGCACGCCGTCCAGCCGGACACAGCTCTTCTGAGCGTTCTCGCAGCCGCCTATGAGCACTGACTGACGGCTCCTAAGCTGTTTACTCTTTTCCCTCCAGGACGGGAAGGTGATCGTGTGGGATTCCTTCACTACTAACAAGGTAAGAGGTTGTCCCTGGTGCATTGAGCAGCACCCCAGGACCCCGGCCCTGTCCTCTTCCCCTCCAGATACCCCCAGGCTCATGGTCATCGGGCTTCTCGGGTGCCCGCCTGGGGATGGAAACCCCAGGAAAGCCCGTCTGTGTTCAGACAGCTCAGCAGCCCGCGGCAGGTCTGTTCCCCTCGAGAGCTGAAACCGCTCCCCCCAGCAGGAGCATGCAGAGCCAGCAGAGAGGGTGCTAACACTTAAAACCGGAAAGGGCCTGGCCTGGAAAACTCCTCACATGCAGGCACGCACGTATTATTTTTCTCCTGAGGGGTGGTAAGAGGTTCCTGAAGCCCCCACTTTCTCTGCCCTCTGTGTCTGTGACCGGACTCTGTAGCACCATGGACATGAGCAGACAGCGGAGGAGAAGCTGAGGTTGCAGGGGGGTTGAGCTGACTATCCAGTGATATCCTGCAGGTCGGGCCTGGGCGAGCTCGGCTCCAAATTTAACCTACATTTAGACTCTTAACTAAAGAGAAAGGCCACAGTCTCTGTGGAGGTGTGCTTACAAGCCTGCCTCGTGTGCCATTTATGGTAATGACTATTGTGTATTCAGTCCTGGTTCTGTTATTTATATAAAGAAGGTCTTCTCGGGCGCCTGGGTGGCTCAGTTGGTTAAGCGACTGCCTTCGGCTCAGGTCATGATCCTGGAGTCCCCAGATCGAGTCCCGCATCGGGCTCCCTGCTCGGCAGGGAGTCTGCTTCTCCCTCTGACCCTCTTCACTCTCATGCTTTTTGTCTCTCTGTCTCAAATAAATAAATAAAATCTTTAAAAAAAAAAAAAAAAGAAGAAGGTCTTCTCTTCTTCACTATATAAGACAAAGAGACCTATATCTGCCTCCAACTGAGCAGCATCCATATTCTGCATATTATTGAATGTGTTTAGTGAGTGTTGTGGTAGGCAGGTACTACCCAACCTGATCAAGGGGTGGGGGGCCAGAACCACCTTTTGGAGCAGAGTCCCTCATGGTCAGGCCCCTAGGGAATAGTAAAGGTGGCAACTTAACGGTTTACAAGGGGCTTTCCCCTCCAGCACCTCCGCCCATGGGAGCCTCTGCTTCTCCCAGCGCACCTTAGCCTCTTCAGAAGCGTGTGGGGTTTTGTTGCTTCTGTTTAAGCCTTAGCATGTCCTAGAGCACACACTGCCTGATTTCTGGGGAGCCGTGGTGTTGCCACTGTGGCCCCTGGCAGGGAACATAGTTTTTTCTTGTAAGGAAGGGGGCCTGGGGCGCCTTGTGCTGAGAGTGGCCCTTTGCTGCAGTGGGTTATTCTAGGCATCTGAAAGGCTGTAGATTGTGAGTGACAGAATTTCCATGAGCATAACATGAATCATAGCAGGAAAGAACCGGCCTAAATCAGCTAGTCCCGTCCTCTCCCTTCACCAGTGGCCTGCATGGGGCCACACATCTTGCTGGTGTTGGAACTAGGAACCAGGGCCCATGTCTCTCATGGGAAGTAAGACCACAGATGCAGAAGGTTTTGGGTTGTGGCTTTTGTTGCCTGTTGGCATGCAGGAGAATGTGGGTGCCCCGACCACCAGCCAGGAGCAGAAACTGCTACACCTAGTTCTCGTTGCCTCCATGTTATGGGGTCTCCGTCCTCTGTGAGCACAACTCAAGATCACCCTGCCCTCCCCCGCCTCCACTCAGACCTTCCCAGGAGTGGTTTCAGGGCCCACAGGGGACAGAGGCTCTTGTATACTCACAGGGCAGCAAACACAACATACGTGTAGAATCATTTAAGAACAGATTTTTAGGGCGCCTGGGTGGCTCAGTCAGTTAAGCGACTGCCTTCGGTTCAGGTCATGGTCCCGGAGTCCCGGGATCGAGTCCCGCATCGGGCTCCCTGCTCAGCGGGGAGTCTGCTTCTCCCTCTGAGCCTCCTCCCTCTCATGCTCTCTGTCTCTCACTCTCAAATAAATAAATAAAATCTTTGGGAAAAAAAAAAAAGAACAGATTTTTAAAAAGGGGGAATCTGAGTAAATAAGGTACAGCATGTAACTGAAGTGAAATTCAGACAGACCTTTCAAAGAAAATGAGCCCCAATATTCATTCAGAAGAACAAGGGGAGTATAACATTAAGAAATAAGTAGGCCACCTGGGTGGCTCTGTCAGTTGAGCATCTGACTCTGGGTTTCGGCGCAGGTCATGATCTCATGAGTCGTGAGATTGAGCCCCACGTTGGGCTCCACACTCAGCAGGGAGTCTGCGTGAGGATTCTCTCTCTCTGCCCCTTCCCCTGCGTGTGTGCTCTCTCTCTCTCTCAAATATATCTTTAAAAAAGAGAAGTAAAACAGTAAGGATATTGTTTTGTTGGCTGAGATTTTTAGCATTTGGAATATACGACGTTCGCTTTTGTTGATTCTGGGGGAGCTGAGTCTCCTGTCAGTCTCAGGCTGAGCTTCACCCCACACCCCTGCCCTTTGAAACGGTAATGGGATTTAGCAGGAACTCCAGTCATTTGATTTTGCAAAAACTAAACATTAACACATTTGTGTAGAAGTGCCGCTCTTTCCTTCTATGAAGCTTGCGTTCTGTGTTTCAGGAGCATGCAGTCACCATGCCCTGCACGTGGGTGATGGCCTGTGCGTATGCCCCGTCGGGATGTGCCATTGCATGTGGGTAAGTAGGGGCCAGGCAGCTTCTCAGATCTCTGATTAGCCATAAAATACCGTTTGATGGGCAAAAACAAGCAAACAAACTCGAACTTAACTGTTTTTGTTCTTGACCGGTTAAGCGAGGTGTTCAATTCCTTCCTGAACTTCATCAAAAAAGAAACTACACACATCTCTTTCATACTTATTTTCATTATAGACTGACAGTAGCTTAAGTTTCAAACCTGCCTCCTCTACTCTCAAATGCTGTTGGTGGGGACTATAAATTGGTGCAAACGTTTTGGAAAACATGTTAGTAATGTGTATCAGAACAGAAGCCTTGAAAAATTTATAACCTTTGATCTAGAGATTCCATATCTAAGAACTTGTTTGAAAGGAATGATCCAAAATATAGAAAAGCCATATGAGCAATAATATTTATTGTAGCACTATTTAAAATAAAGCAAAAAAAGGCAGGGTAGGGAGGAATCATAAGTCCATCAAAGGAAATTATTAAGTGAATTGTGGGACATGAGTTGAAGGGAATATTTTATACAACCATTAAGAAGGAAACTTCTTAATTACAGTAAATCAAAAGAACATCCAGGTTGCTAGGAAGATGGTGTTTTATTTCCTATTCTCCTGGAGCTCAGTTTAACAGAGTTGGCAGTGAGAACTGCAACCAACATAATTCCCTGTCCCTGTGTTAAACAATTCTGGAAAATATCTCTACCATAGGATCCCAGCCATGTTTAGAAAAGAGGCATTAAATCTGTGATGAACTATACCAAAAAATCCAATAGTAGTTCCTTGTGGATGATGGGACTATGGGGTTTTCTCTTTTTTATAATTTTCCATTTTTAAAAATAAGCATATGTCATTTTTATAATCAGGAGAAAGGAGTTTTAATTCAAAAATGAAAACACTTGGCCTCCAAGCAAAAAGTTTGGAGCCTTCTCCAGCCAAGTCACACCAATGGTTGTCCTCAACGTCCCTCCCTTTGAGTGGCTGTTGGGGGCATCTTTCCATTCACTCTCCACGTGCCAAGACCCTGTGTGCCTTTGGAACCCATGTTCACACACATGTATTTCATATTTTCTAATTTTTTAAATAATTCAAAAGTAGGTTGTATTTCCATTTTATAACTGAATGGTAGTATTTATATAAAATTCATCCCATTTACTTCTTGAAAGGATCTGAGGTAAGCACAATAAAAGACACACATACACGCATGATATAGCTAGGTATATATGTATTTATGTATATGCTATGTACATAATACATTTATTTACATATGTGTGTATACATACACACACACAATAAGGTAAGTGTAAAGGAGTTCGGCCAGCTGTATAATTAGAAGGCGCCGTTCCCACAAAACTTCTGTCACTTCAGATATCAGCCGCAAACCACCCTCAGGTTTGATAATTTGCTGGAACAACCACAGAACTCAGGAAAGTGCTATACTTAGGCTCACAGTTTTCTCACAGTGAAAGGATACAAATTAGAACCAACCAAAGGTGGTGCCCAGGGCAGAGTCCAGGCAGGGTCTAGACCTGGAGCTTCCAGTTGTCCCGTCCCTGTGGCGTCATGGACGGCGTTACCTCCTCCTGGTCTCCTGGCCTCCTAGCCACCATGCGTGATGATTCACAGAGCATTAACCACCAGGGAAACTCGCCTGAGTCTTTCGTGTCCACAGTTTTTCCTGGGGCTCAATCACATACGGCCCATGTGGCTGACCCTCAGTCTCCAGTGTGTCCTAGAGGTTTAGGCTAATGCCTTTAGTTTCTGGTTCCTGTGAGGAGGTCAGAACTCACAGCGCGTGCCCTAAATCATACTGTGAGACTATGTGTGAGCCAAAACTGTTCTCCCATCAGGCAGCCCATTCCAGGGGCTCAGAGATGACCTCCCAGCAGCCAAGGGCAAAAGCTGACCTCTTATTAGGTAAGATCAGTTCTTACTCATTAGGAGTAATAAATACTCTACATTTTAAAAAACTCCAGGGTAATATGTTTCTAACTGGGCATTAATGTTAGCTAGCAGATGCATAGAGTTGAAGGAGTTACATCATTTCTCAATATTTTATACTGAGATATCTGCTATCTGGCTCTGTGTTACAAAAAGAACATATTGGGTAGATCCTTCTTCAGTATGCAGTGGATATAATAACATAGTGAACAATGTCTTTATTTTTTTAGAGAGAGCAAGCAAGTGGGGGGAGGAGCAGAGGGAGAGAATCTCAAGCAGACTCCCTGCTGAGTGCAGGACCCAGTGCAGGGCTCCATCTCCTGACCCTGAGAGCATGACCTGAGCCAAAATCAAGAGTCGGCCACTTAACCAACTGAGCTGCCCCAGGCACCCCATGAACAATGTCTTTAACAGTAGTTTGGAAAATGGTTCTGTCAGCTATTTCTTATTTGAACCCAGTGAGAAAATTTCCATGAGGGAGGGGGGTAGGCGGGAAAGAGAATAATTTTACAAGGCCCAGGTAGACAGGTTTGTGGTGACAGCCTCCTCAGAGAGGAGGAATGGCTGGTGTCTTCTTGTCCGTCATATCTGTCTCCCGGCCCCGCCATGTGATACATAGTTAGTGCCTGCACTGACTGCCTCACAAGCAGAGGGAGTTCAAGCTGTGAATACTGGTGTAATATTAACAAATATTTAAAATATGGGGTCCAGGGGCGCCTGGGTGGCTCAGTCGTTAAGCGCCTGCCTTCGGCTCAGGTCATGATCCCAGCGTCCTGGGATCGAGCCCTGCATTGGGCTCCCTGCTCGGCGGGAAGCCTGCTTCTCCCTCTTCCACT